TGTTTCGCTTGTTGTACAAGGACGTTGTCGGGGGGAAGAGCCAGACCGCATCTATAATGAACAACGCCTTAGACCTTTGTTAAGCATTTCTTCAAAGACTGTGTCCCAAAAACATACCCGAGTCTTTTAAAGCATTGTCCAGAACCACGTTCTACGCATTTCATAATGCAGGAAGCGAATTTCTTGCCCGCAGCGAGGAAACCTTTTGCCTCTGCTTGGATGCCTAAAATGGATTTTCTTTTGTTTCATACACATTTGACGGAAAGAAAGTCAAAAAATGCACCAACCTGATCTTGCCAACATTGAGTTAATCTCAGCATATGCTGCCAATTTCAGAGTTTCTGGATATCGTTTTGGAACCATTCCTCCTGGACCTCTTGCGCATCTGAAGAAAAATTATTGCTTAGTCTTGATGATGGTCAGTAAAAATAATATATAAGGGATTGCGTAAAACCGTATTTAGTTGCTTTTTACCAGGGACATATTGCAAATTCGATTACATCAAATCCGTTGTTAATCGCGGATATTTTCTTGTATCCCAAAAATCCCAAGGAATCCCAAAAAATGGGCGTTAGATGTTTCTTCAATGGAAAATTAACTATTAACAACTTTCACTGTTGCTGGTAATTTATATCATGGCTTCTGTATTCAGCGCTGGCTGAGAGTCAATTTACTTAGGAGACTGCTTAAGTAACTAAGTGAGCAATCAAATGAAGTATTATGTTTTCTTGTCCTTTCCAACGTGCTTAATTTTCAATTCTAGGATAACATACTCATCTTCAGCCGGATGTTCTCAGCTTATTTATTGGTTTTCCTCAATAATTGTTTGGAGGCCTTTAGTCATAGTTTCGCTAACAGCCAGAAAGGATTAGCAATTAAACATTATAATACGTTTGGTGGAAAACCTTGAAAATTTGCAGAGACAGTGAACCTATCAAAGTCTTCTTTTGTATGATAAACAGTCTTTCCTAAGCGGTATCCTTTCTAAAGAAAACAATAAAAATTCGCGCGATAAATGTCCTTAAAGTGGAACCACAATTTTTACAGCCTACTCAAAGGTCAAATTAATCTTTTACGATGCAAAAACTTACGCTCCAGACAGCTGTTGGGTTTGACATTGGATCACTCTGTTGAGCAATGGTTCCTGTGACGACAGGCAACTTCTCAAAGCTGGATATGAAGCTCCAAGAGCAGAAACATGGTTCTTAGAAATATTTGATTTAGTTTTTAACATTTCAGGATCTAAGAATAACTACAATTTACCTGACATTGATCAGCACA